TAATAATTACACATTACAGTATAACCTTTAAATTAAGATTTTGTAAAAAATTGCCTATACTTTACTCCTTAAAAATGGATGGTGCGACGTTCTCTTAAAAATTTGAAAAAAATGCTATAAGGATATTACGAAAAAGAACACTGCTTTGATTTAGAAAAAAATCAAAACAACCTCTTAAGAATGCAAAAAGGTGTCTAGAAATTAGTCAACAACACCGTTTTATTCCGCAAAATGAAACTACACTGAAATTTCTGATTTGTATCCAAGTCACCATAATTAAAGCGATTCAAAATAATAATGTAAATAATTTTTTACTAGGAGTACTTTAGTGGCCGTTGGCGATGTTGCTCGTTGGGCAACTATATTATCTTTAATCGTGAACTACAATTTGCAATAAAGATAAGAACCTAACTAAAGGCAATGTTTTTGATATTAAAATACGAAATTTCTCTTGGCGGGATTTTGGTAAAATCGATGTTGGTACTATCTGTAGTATTACAGATTTTATAGGTTATGTAACATTTATTTCTTATCACGCGTTATCATTTTTTGGAAGAACTACCCCCAACTCCGTACAACCATTGATTAAATACATTTACAACTATAACGTTTATCCCGGGTCAGTGTGATCAACTACTACTACTGTGATAACTGAAATTATCCATAGTTTATATATCATATCTATCTATAATATCATACATTTCTATTATAGCTAAAGCAATATGGCAGACGGCCTTTTTCGGCGGCTCATCCGAACCCATATAATTTGATTAAAGTTTCCCTTCTAGTTTTATTCTGTGGTATAGCATTACACGCCCTTAAAAAAAAAGTTGTGCCTTAAAAGTATGAAGACAAAGTCGGTACTCGGTGGACTCTATTTCTCCCTCACCATCTCGACGTTCCCGCTTAATAAGGCAAAAACGTCTAATTCACCACTTTAGCACAGAATAGATTTTATCTAAATTAATTTTCACTTTTATCTATATGCTTATTATTAAGTGATCAGAGTCTAAATTGACTCCACGAAAATGTCTTATGTTCTTACGTGTATTTTTGAATCTATTATTAACTAGGACGCGGTGAAGTTGATTTTTATATCTCCCATCCGATAAGGTCCACGTAAAACATACTTAGTACTTTTTACTACTAACCATTGCCGTTCGTACTATAATGTAAACTTAGTTTTTTTTATAACCGTTCCGTCACATATCTCATGTGCTATTTACGATGACGATTGTTTATGATATTTTAGTTGTTATACCGTCATTCCGTCTAATTTATTCTAACGTAATGTAATTTCATGTATAATTTTTATCTCTCTTATTAAATCCAAAGCCCTCTTGATTTGTGCAGAGTCCGCACATTTCATGTACATACGACAAAAAAAAAGGTCCGATTTCTAGTTTCCAGTCTTTTGCCGGTTACTCGCTAGTCTAATGCTTCTTGTTTGAGTCCTGCGTATGTGTTTTAATAAGCAGGGTTATTAACTTCCAACCAGGAGGGCCAGAGAACTTCAACCGATAAAGTTCAGGAACTAGGGCTATTTCAATACACTACAGTATATTAGGCGATGCATATGCGCTACTTTCTCTACACCGTGAACATACTGGAATCATTCACCTGGAAATGTTCGCCAATAAGAGCGTGGGACCCCGGCTCGCTAAACCCATAATATAATATGTTTCCCCTGAGAAAAAATAATATTCAATACTAAATACGAATAATTAGACATTAGTAATATTTATAAAGCAAAAAAACATATTTAATTTTTATGTCCTACTGGCTACTAGTAACTACTATAAATCATAAGACGTTTCATTGAAACTAAAAATAATTCATTTAATGAAATGCTAATGGATGGAAAGTTAATACTTAATTCATTATCAAGGATAATAAGTTCTCCAATATCCATCTACCTATGCTCTATGTAAATGAAAAAATCAATGATAAGTACATTTTTATAAATTATAACCAATAGCCTTCAGATTTCATTTCAATTTATTGCTGAGGAGTATTAGTTTATCGGCTTCTAACGTAACAAAATGTTACCTATCTACACTATTTATCTAATAGACTTAAGTATTATTATTGAAAAAAATATGTTGCTGTTAGAATTTTTGGTTTTGATCTAACTTATTTTAAAAGTTACGGTTGATAATTCATTATATAATAATTGATTTTTAACTATTATTATTTTTTCAATAATTACAATACTGGTTTGTATTATTATTTATCGACACAATGTATGAAGGATATCAGTGAAAGTTGGCACCTTGTTTGATAAACAGCGTTTAAAAAACAACCTAGTTATAGTTTAAACGTGATTCTTATGAATTATTTATTAAACGATTTTTTATGATAATAATATGTATTTAATATAACATGCTTGAGGAAGCGTCAATTTTATTTAATTTTTCGATGTATACAAAAACAACATATTTTTTGGTTAACATCAATTAAATTATTCACTACAAGATGGATCAATATGCGAGAGGTTTTAAAGTATATTTTAATTACCCTTATATGTATAATCGCTTGATCGTGTTCATAAATTATAAATATGATAATATGGTAGAAACTAGGTTATTTTAAAAATGTACTAAGAATTCTATAATATATTTGTAAGAGACGTAAAATGTTATAATTTTCGTAATATTTAGAAGCTATAATTATTGTTTACATTAGCTCAAATTGTAAGTTATATAATTTTGAATTTTAAGGGGCACTAAGATTATCCATTACGTTATAATCAATACAGTTAGATAGAATAGGATTTTATTAAATAATACTATGTATTATAACATTAAACATATTGATAAACATGGTATATAACGATTTTGCGAAAAATTTTCAATACTGAGCACATTAACCAGCCGATCGCCGAAAGTATAGCTTGTTCTCTACAGATTTGGATTGGAGCGTTTCTATTAGTGCTTTTATTTTTACCGTCAAATGTTTAGCTTAGCGTATTAAAATATTAGTATTTAATGAACTGAACTCAGTAAATAGTTAGTATGAAATTGTCCACCAGTGAAGGTGGTTATAAAATTAAAAACAGTATTAATTATTTAAATAGAAAACTTTAAATAGTAGAAAAATTATAAAACACAAAGCCAAACAGTTAAAATCCTACATATTAAGTTAGATGTGGCTGATATTTTGATATCTAAGACTTTATTTTAAAGGAAACTTGTCTTTGCGAATCTGTGGTTAGCAAACTTCAATTATGCGCTGGTTTGAATTGCACAGGCTTGGAATGCCTCAAGTTTGGAATGAGCTAGTTCAAACTATATTTGACTTATCTATGCACAGTTTTAATTGCACGTGTGAGAGTGAGTTAATACAGAAATGATGCAGACAATGTATTATCATTATTTTACAGAAAATCGTAAATTTATTTCACTATTATTTTAGTTAAATGTATTATTATTGTTAGGCATTGTTGTTTCATGTGTTTGAATTCGTATTTTATGCTATTGCGAAGTCATGTAAAAAATGAATAAAACCAACTGTGGGAAGACTGATAAATACATTTCTCAATGTTGAGTTCTATTTTATTAAGTATTTGACATAATAATGAATAAATAACAAAATATCGTAATACAAACAGTATAACAATATAATATAAACATTGTGTTGTAACATGACGTTAATTTCTCATCATAATTTATATTTATATTGATCCTTATTTTTTATGGCGTACCTAAGTATATCATGTACATGCCTAAGTAAGGTATAATATTTTTTTTAATTAGTTAAAGATCATTTGAACTTTGTAGGTTTTCGACGAGCACGTTTCATTGGCCATGACCAACTTTTAATTTAGTTCAAGAAACTCACGATGTATGCAATTTGTTTTATTTGAAACAGTTATAAAGTATGGAATAAAGTAAATAATACAACGTCACGTCGTTTGTAATTTAGTAACGCGTACTATGATTAAAATAAAATCTATAAGTATAAACGTTATTAATGGTAAAATAATTTGGTAACTATGCGCCAAATTGTACCTAATGATAGTTTTTAACAAACCTCTTCAAAATAATAAGGTTTAGCTTAGGCTTATCTATTTTTCCTTCCGGATCCGAGGTACCAGCTGCCTATTACCATAAAATACATGAAATCAGAATGGCCACTGATAACAAATTACACTGGAAGTATTGTAGTATAATATCTGGATATTATGTCATACTATGAACATAAAACCATGACTAAATATTATTATTATTAAATATTAATTAGCTATGTACAAAACGGTTGGCCATTTTTTTTAGTCCCCGTTACCACATTTTCTAATAGATAGAAAATTTCTATAAGCTAGAATCACGATGTAGAGAAGACATATCTCTAATCTCTATAAAGAAGATCATCTCTATATTGTGTACAATACATAGCATTTTTGATCAAAAAGATCTCTGATAACAAATTACGTGGGATGAATATGTAACGAACAATCTAAAAACATAACAGGAGAGACAGATCGATTTTGATTACATTCCAGAGTGACCATTCTGATTTTAATTATTCTGCGCTACTACCTACCAAGACGAATATAACATTATAATATTTTCATGTAATTGTGTCCTTCGACCTCCGTTAAATCGGATGGCAATCGAAAGCGGAATTATTCTGACTAACTAATCCGTTTTTTTTTGTGTGATTAGAAAATGAATAAAGCGGCTAAGAGTAATTTTCCGGCTTTACAAGGTCTTCATATCGTTGACACGGTCCGCACGTACAATGGCCAGTGGCTAATCTGGCATTTGTAACAATATTAAAATTTTTCAATTTGCCAATGCATAATAATAATAGTTACACCTAATAGTAACGGACTATTATAGTTGCGGTATTTATTAATACCGACAACAACATTCAATTTTTATTTGCCGCTTCAGTAATCGCAATATTGCAGGTATTAATGTTTTGGGCTCGGGAAATCACTTGCCTGAACCCAAGGACTTCGGTTCAGGTGCAAACTGGTTGTCCCCTCTTCTTTTCTAATCATCCGCCGTTCACATAATAATATTATTGTTTGGTCTCTGCTCACCGGCCACCGCTACTATACTCTATAGACTTTTAGTTTTAATCAGTTCGCATCATTTGCAGCAGCAACACTGTGGTAAGTACGTACCAAGTACAATATTGTTGTGTTGTTAATAATAGGTTATACTAATGGTAGCTAATTATTATTATACATCGGTTTAATTTTGGTATACTAAGTAACGTTTATTAGATTGTCGATGTGATTTCTATAAATATAATTAATTCGTTTTTATTTTTTAAATTATATGTTTTTACTTTTAAGAAAATTTGAATAAAAGCGTTTTTGGGGATTCTAGGGTCGACATTATTCGTAAATGCTACAATTAAAGTTTTATTATAGAAAAAAAAATAGGTGGCCTGTATCTCAAACATGGATGCTTATGAGCAAATAAAATGTGTGCCTGTGGAATGGAAATAAATGATCCAATACCTTGTTATTTCAATTGGTTTGTTAATACCATTTTAAGTCGTACTTATAAAAAAAAACTTTCTATTTAAAGCACTTTCAAACTTTCAACTTTTTAGAGCATCATATAATTGTTGGGATATCTGGATCCTAATATTCATCTATCTATATTATTCGTTAAAAATAACTCAACAGTTCGAGTATATTGTAAAATCTATTTTGTTCAACCGATCATCTATGATCATTGACTTATATTATTAACCTAACTATTTTGTTAGAAATAATACAATTTTGTTGTCGATTTTTTAACACATCTGTATATAATATCTAATAAATGTGATAATTTCGATAGATATTGAACCATTCCACGCTATCACAATATAATATAGGTTATCGAATAACAAAGAAATAAAATTCAAAATACACTAGTAAATATAATATTGTAATATAATATTAAAATCATGAATTAATAATATGTTTTCATGTCATATGATGATATAAATATAGTTTTTGTAGTTGTTGTATAAAAGTAGGTTAATAAATACCACGATAACAATTTTAAAACAGTTCGGTTTTATCAGTAGATTATATCTTTTGATACTACTGTTATATAAAATATATAATTTGTGTAATCGCTACATTTTTAGCATACTGTTCATAATTTATAATTTATTGGCCATGTATAATTTAATTAGTAATTTTTCAAATGCATCATAAATCTCTTATGATTTGTTTAAACGATGTAGACAATAATCTAATCAATAATACAAATTACAATGTACGTTGTAAAGGTAGTTAGTAGATACCGCGAATTGACACAAAAAATTAAAAATAAACTTTGATTCACTCACACATAGAAACCTAGAAATTGACTACGGTAAAAGTAAAATTTTCCCGTTTTTGGGGGTTTTTCCTTAATAAAAAAATAATTTGACTATACATTTTTGAAAAAATTGTATAATATGTTATAGTTTTATTCTAGATCTACCTTTGGCATAATTTTCAGACCTAAATGCCTAAAGCATTGCTAGAAAAATTGAAATAAAGAAAAAATGCTATCCCTTCTAGGAGAAAGGGTTTATAAAAATGTTTATGGTTTGTCAATGTTCAGACCAATCGATGGTACTAATTCGACTATTTTTAAAAAAAGTTATATAGCATCGTAATTTTAAGTTAAAAAATATGTACATATTTTGAATGATTCTTAATTTTAAAGGGGAAGAAGTGATTTGTTAAAATTTTTGGCCCAGTAATGTACCTTTGAGCTACGATTTCTGATCTATAGAGTTACTACTTGAAGAAATCGTTTCAGCGACTTAAAAGGTAGATCTTCGGCTCCGCATCGAAACTAAAGTATTCATAAAAGTATAGATTTTTTTAAATGTCGAATTAGAATATCGTAATAGTCAAAGGCTGGTGGAAATTAGTTCTTTGACTTTTATCTATTTGAAAGACTATATAGTCTTAACTTTTATCTATGTTCGCTATAGGTTTTTACTTGCTAATAAAAATAAATAACACTAGCAGTTTTTTCGATCTGACTTCTCGGTTAAGGCATTCACACAGCACACTGTTAAAAATGCATATAGAAACTTGTACCAGTGTGTTAGCTATTGACTAAAGTAATAATACATTACTGTTCGTAGTATTTACATTATTATTCGTAAATACAATTTATACCAAATACCAATGTTATTGCAAAAGACAAATTTAAAAATTAAATAAATCTTACAGCACTGTTATATCAGTGGCTTTCAAATTTACATGTAAAAATAACATTATAATATTATTTAAAACGCATTTGTCGACGTGTTTTGTATTCTTTGAGCACTTGTTATGTTTCTATTTTACTGTTTCGTCACTTTTAAAGAAATAATCTCAGAAAACGTTAACAAATTTATTGTGATTTCGGCCGTGGTGGAATTCGAAATGATTGCATCACTACACATTTGAATAATAATTAAGCTAACATCAGTTTTCGTAATTTGTAATTTCCACACACAATCCTTAACCGTGTTGTACAAATTACCAACTCTCATTGACCTTCTGTTAAAAAAAATATGTGTGATTATGTATACCTATGTATATATAAATGTAATACTTGGTAGAATGTTTATTTTTTTATTTGACTAGCGTCCGTCGTTTTAAAACTACATTATTTTTTTTTCTTGACAGTTCTTATTGTTCCACTTGATCGTTATTATGAATATAAAATACTATACCGGAAAGTGTAGCAGTTTACAGTCAAAGCGATACAGCCTCAGGGCACCATACGAAATCTTCTACCGAGACCTTGTGACGGTTTACACAGGATATATATATAATTAATAACAATAATCATAATTGTCCGCTTTAGTCGACGTTTCACGCTTCCTATGCGAAACTCAATAGTAGCTCCTTTCTTATTGAAACCAAGCGTTTAAATCTCCTAAACTTCTAAATAATTTATTTTTTGAAGGTCCTCGTCGTACTGTCAAAATTATATTTCACGCGTTTAATATAATTTAGAGTGGTATAGTCGAACAGCCCTTGAAGATTTCAATTTTGATAACTTTCAAATTGATTTTTCATATAACGATACCAACACCACGACACGATGTTACTGTTAATTTATTATTACCACACGATCGTATCTTTATTTATTTCTCGTTCACCTTAAAACTATATAAATTATTATACTTTTATCGATGATTTTCTTATTTAATTATGTTTATGTGTAAAACTCAGTATCTAACAATAAAATAAGGTCACTATTAGCTATGCAAAATACCCAAGTTCAATTGTAATTTGTAAGTACTTAAATACAAATAATATACGTATGTCACAATTTTTTCGTTATTGTGAAATTTACGTTTGAATTTCAGGTACTATAAATTATTTGATTTTAATGCGTCATATTACAAACTTGTAGGGATCAGACAAGGATCTAAAAAATATAAATTATAAATCTGAAAAAGCTAGTAAATATTTGGTTTCTGAAGAATGAATTTGATTCCGATTTATACTCTTCTGTTAAAATAAAATAAATAATGATAAAAATAAAATACAATAAAATTGTAGTATTCAAGTCTTTTTTACAGCTTAAATCCATATTTTAAGCCATTCCTGTTGATGTGTTGATGAGTATTGATCAAAATATTGACAATGAATAATTATATCTGTGTATAATATTAACATTAATATATTTTATGGCTTGGTATAAGTTCAAGTCTTGCGTAACATTTTTAAAAATCAGTTCTATTGTTATTTTATAATAAGAGATAAGGAAGTATGACAAGAAGTGGTGAAACGTTTATGGAAGTGGGTGGCCATAAAATATAATCATTATGGTCATTATGGTTTCTGCTTAAAGAGGAGAAAAAATATTTTGAAAATTGTTTTATTACTATCATACTAAATTACAAATACGTACGACCTGCATAATATTATAGAACAGTTAGTATAAACTAACATTATAGTTTTAGCTTAATAAATTAAGATTCAGTGAAAAACTGCTAATACCCTAATTGTTAACAAATATATAGTGTTACGTCCTACTAAAAAAAAATATTACACAATCAAAAATGTGAAAAACATTTTTTTTATCGAGTCATGTGAAATATAATTTTTAATATTATATTCAAACTAAAATATGTTTGTTAAAAGATTGGTAGAGGGAATTCAAGTATACCCTTGTACCATTCTGTGTGATCCGTAGTTGATCATCCTACTACTTGTAAGGACCGTACTGTCTTACTCGAAAAGAGTTAATCCGATTCTATTGAAGAGTTCAGATGTTAGTCAAAATGAGACAAACGTGTGCGCAATGATAGTTATCCTATATTGTAAAAAATTATTTTTAAAAATGCATCTTTCGTTTAATTGTGTTTGCAGGTAAAGATGGCAAGACTTGCGTTGGCAATAATTTTGTTGGGCTGTTGCTCGTTTAGCGTTAGGTCGACTAACGACCGTCTCCGAGAAGTGTTTAGCTGGAAGCAAGTGGACTTCGTTTTCCCCGATCAACAGACCCGACAGGCGGCAATCAACAGTAGGGAGTATGTGCAGGCCAACAACATGCCTTTGGGTTTGGAAGTCTGGAGGGACAAGCTGTTCATCACGGTGCCCAGATGGAAGTCCGGCGTGGCGTCCACTCTAAATTACGTGTCACTCGGATCGTCGGGTAAATTGTTTGAAATTTCCTATAGCATGGCCTAATAATAATAAATAATAATAATAGTAATAAGGTTATTACTTATTATTGTTGCAACTGCGGCTGACCGAAATGACCCACAACCGTGACGGATGTCATGTACAGCATAAACACAGCCGCCGCATGTCCGCTAATAATTCGCACCCACACATGACCTTAGTAATGTGATTTCTCGTCATGGTTTTTTTTATACCAACAAAAACTGTGAAGACGAAATAGCTATTAATCTAGCAACCACTTACCTCACCATTTGATCGGTTTTGAAAGTGAGATCGTATTGGTTTAATGATGTTTTACTTTTTTTTTTTGTCAGTATATTAGGTACGTTATAAGATGAAATTCTTCAAACTAACGATAAATATATAATAATCGATTAGGAACTATACCCGCCTGGTATTTTAGAAGGGGTAAAAAATTAAGAGTTCTCTATTTTTCCTATAAAGTAGACAAAAATCCCATAGTTTTCTAGTTTTATCGAGTCTTATTTTTTTTTTTTACGAAAACCGGTAAAATAATTCATAAAAAAACGAATTAAAACTTTTTCTCTTGAAATATTATTTTCTTATTCTGAGATCAATTTCGGCACTTGTGGTTCAAAAAGACTGCAGCTTTAATATATTATTTATTGTAATTCAATAAATAAAAAAATGAAAGCCCTATAAACAATATTCAAATTGAGGGGAAATAATTATAAATTTTATTTTTAAAAATAACATTGATAATTTGAACATGTATAGATGTATAGATATATAGATTTATTAGATATATAGATCTAATAAATTATGAATATTTAGAACTTTATGTACAAATTTGTTTTTGTACGCAAATATGAGTAGCTATAAAAAAAAATTGCATGACGTTCTTCTGTACCAATACTGCACGTCTATAGTGTTGTATCGATTAAATATTTAGTCTTTTTTTTTTTTTTTTAACAAACGCTATAGCCGTAGGCAACTTATTGTTACAGTAGCACGTTATACATGACAAGCGACGTGTAATATTATGTATGATAAAAGTAATAATTAGCGGTGGTATACTCACGAGGAAAGTGAAAATAACCATGGCGTAACACCAGCAGCTGTCGTTGTGTGTCCGTAACCCAAAGAATCTACGTGCCTCTATAATAAAAACATATGTAGTTGTATACTTGTATCCATATGACACGTCAATCGTCATAATATGAAGTAATGTAATAACGTCTTCTATTCCGCTTGGCAGTCCCCATACGGAGTCCGCATGTAATAAAAAGATAACAACTAATAATACATTTAATTTTGAATTTCATATCCACATTTTTTGATGTTGTTAATGTCAGTGGCGCAATTTCGATGAAAAAACTAAACCTCAACACGACTAGATGAAGCCCATTTATGTGTTACTTCCATGTTATGACGATTTCTGCTAAGAAAGTCATTCCCTCTTCCTTGGATTTTCGCAGACGAACGCTCACCCAACAGAGTGTTTAATATATACCTACCTAAACAAATGTTCACATTTATATAGATTAGTTAATATGCACATTTTCACACAATTTAGATATGCTGTTTTTAAAACATCATGTGTTATAAAATGCTTAGAAATTGAGTATAGTAGTTTGTATTGTGTTGACTACCGGCAGGACTCACCGCTAATGGCTAAATCGTAGATATACCTGTATTATAGTATACTTATACATGTACACTTCGTAGTTTAATATTAGCTGTGGTGCACCTGTTCTTCAATTACTCTTATAGCACTTGTAATGTATTATAATAATATGTAGAAACAGCTGTTTTACCCGTCGATATGCGCGGGCCAGTAATTAAATTTGGTGAAGGTGTTGGTTTCTTTTGCGCTTGGCGGTGTTGAGTTCCGCTACATGTATTTCAAATTTGCGTCTTCTATATACTTATAATACGCATGTAGAACTATTTTGCAATGCACGAAGAACACACACATACTATAATATAGTATATAACGCATTATTGCTGAGAAGAAAACGGCATGTACTTAAGTAAGTAATTTTGAATGTAATTTTATTTAGACCTGGTTGATGGGATGATTGTTATTATTTACTAAATACATAAGACAACAGAGGCGATTTCGGAATAATGTATCAATTCTATTGCTTAACGTCTTTTTAAACACGTTATAATTTTGACCTTAAACTCAAACGTAATAAATACATTTTGTACACACCAATCTTGATAGGCGCGAGAGTAGTTTAGAGTGGCAACAAAACGTTAGAAATATCCCCCCACCCGTTAGGCTTTACCGGATTATTGGGTTTTAGTAAACAATAAATTATCGCTGAATAAGATAATTTTGTTTTGTATATTATTAATTTCCCATGTACACAAGTTCAAATGGTTATCGGTTAATTTGCGGGTTATATAATAGCAGTACCTACGTGTTTTATTCATAATTAACTGCCAACAGGTTTTAAATGTTAATAGTGTGGAAAACCCACGAAACATTGAAAACAACATTACAATTTTTTGATAACAATCGAGTTGTCTTTGAATAAAATTATTCCATAACATTTGTTTTCTCCGTTGAGAAGCTGAGAATTCTAAATAGCCTTATCCCACTTAGTATTTTATATTATACCTAAGTAAAGGGCGATTTTCCCATTTAAATACATCGGAAAATCGCCCGTTTCACTGTCCCACCTTTTATAAGATCGGCCTCATGCTACGTCACTCTAGCACTACTCGTTTTTTTTGTATGTTGACCGTTCCATACTCCTATTATTACTTTACTTATTTCCTTATTATTTATCCGTTTATTAATTTTTATTCGATATTTCTTTAACTATTTTTCGTTGGACCATCTCAAATCATCCTCTGTCTATTATTCTCTAATCTCCCTCTTTATTCTTTCTATAGCGCACCCTATACCTCACTTAATAATTCTAGATCTTATCCTATCTAGTTGGGGTGTATACAACAGGTATACTTTTTTTGTCGGCTAAATGTCTGAAGTCGATTTCTATTCGGTTTATGTTCTATTATATTATAATAATGTAATTCATAATATACTAAATTTCAGATGCGCAAAACCGTTCGCCGAAACTGATACCGTATCCAAAATACGAACAGAATCGTCTGGCGTTCAACTCGACGGAACGCATAGTGTCTGTGTTCAGGATCAACGTGGATCAGTGCGACCGACTGTGGCTGGTGGACACCGGACTGGACGACATTTGGGGCGAGGCCAATCAGGTGCAGACTCCCAAGTTGATGATCTACGATCTGAAAACCGACAAGCTAATTAGGCAATACACATTTAAGGCCGACGACATGAAGCCCGATTCGTTCTTTGCTAACGTGTTGGCCGACACCACCAATAAGACTTGCGGCGACGCGTACGCCTACATACCAGACTTGGGTGCCTATGGGCTAGTAGTGTACAGCTTCGCGACCAACACTTCGTGGAGGGTCAAGCACCATTACTTCCACTTCGACCCGCTGGCCGGCAACTACCACGTGGGCGGCATGAACTTCCAGTGGACCGACGGTATATTCGGCGTGGCCCTATCGCCGGTCAGGGACAACGGTTTCCGGACGCTTTACTTCCACCCGTTGTCCAGCACCAGAGAGTTTTCCGTGTCCACGCGTATCTTGCAAAACGCCAGCATAGCGTCGGACAGTTATTACGAGTACAAGGTGCTCGGGTCCCGAGGGCCGAACACACAGGCCAGCGGGTCGTCGCTGGACGAGGCCACCGGCACGTTGTTCTACACACAGGTGAACAAGGACGGCATTGGCTGCTGGAACTCGTACCGGTGCGCGGACGAGTATTCCGCCGACACTAACGTTCTAGTGGCGTCGGACAGCACCACGATGGAATTCCCCAACGATCTCAAGGTGGACAAAACCGGCACTCTGTGGGTGCTGTCCGACAAGCTGCCCAGGTTTTTATTCAAGGGACTGGACCCCAATGAAATAAACTACAGGATTTTCAACGCCCCCGTTAATGACATAATCAAGAACACGGTCTGCGACGTCGAGTTTTGATTATCAGACAGCAATAAAGTATTATTATCATTTGTATTGGCTGTTGTCGGACGCGTGGAATACGATCCTTTAGTTCCTCATTGTAACACTGTGCACTAAATGTCGTAAATCGATCAACAAGAATATGTTATTATTTAATATATTATTTTCAATAGTGACGTATGGCGATGATAAGTCCCGAAATATTATATTATATGTTTGTCGTGTATTTTTTTATTATTTCACCATATAATACAAATGTTGTGTTTTTTTAAATAATTTTATACTATCAGTCGTTTGCGAATAAAGTAAATATGATTATACAATATACATAACTGTTAAATGCTGTACGCAGATCTAAAAAAAGTGATTAATAAAGTTCATTAAAAACTATAAATGACCATAGATAGGTACACAAATGCGTTTATAATTACGATACGTAAAATTGGAGATTAGTCGCTAGAGCTATAAATTTATACCCGAGTCATATTTTTTTATCGCAACGAAACTTATTTATGACGTTGGTCGAGTGTTTTTGTGTTCTTTAGTCACCAAAGAACCGTCTTCGATACTCTAAAACAACATGTATGCTCAGGTAGCACGTTGTAGTAAAGGAAAGTATGGATGTGAAACTGATGTTTAAAAAGTTATTTTACTGTATGACCAAGTTACCCGAGTACAAGGGTACCAAAGTTTTCAAATTAAAAAAAAAGTGATTTACATTATTTTTAAATTTAGGTTAATCTTAAATTTCGTTTTTTTTTCACTATTTGTGAGTTCTCGACTCAGGCCGTCTTCGTAAAAGACTAATTCGCACTAGTTCCCGGTTTATTTTGTGGTAAAAGTTTATCATACATAAATAAGTTTTCGATTAGCTTAATATTTATAAATTCTATGATGAGCCTAACTTACAAAATATTTGATATACCTACTATTATAGCAGGTTTCAATTATTAATCGATTTTACCTACCGCACTATACCGATTAAACATTATACTCTTATGATAAATTGCCAACAAGAATAAACTAATTATCTATTTAGACACTAGGTTGGTTAGCTAACAATAATATCAATGAGTAGTAGATTTATTAGTAGTTGAGACTATATACAAATAGTGATAAATGAGTGTTTGAAGAATGGTTAGAATCGTATTTTGACAACTGTGGCAATTTAATGATATTGTTCTCTACAAAAAACTTAAAATTAGTATGTATATTATACATGTATAATACTTATACCTATATATTGTATAAGTGTTATACCAGTTTGTTATTGATAAATTTATTTCCACAAACACACAATAAATCTTGTACTGTTAAAGGTTTTAATAGAATTTAGCAGATATTTTTTTAAATATTATTAAGTAACTAATACATCGAGTATATAATATATTACTTACGAAATGTGTCATGCAATAAGTCTCCGTGGCAAATCGCCAATACTCATCGCAGTCAACATACACAACAACATGTTTATAACATACAGTCTAGTGCATATTTTATTGTTGTTTGAATTCGTATAAAATACATAATAATAATATATTATTCAAGTATATTTTATTATTCCTGCCAATTTTATTTACCAGCAACATGGAATCTTCCCTCAATATTATTGTCACAGTGCCGAACAAACAATTTTTGATGAATAAAGGGATTCTAGATATTCAGATCTCATTGCTTATGTACTTGATATTTTAAATGTTAATAAAATATGTTAACATTAAAAAACAATATTTTCGGCGTTTCCCTCGGCTGACTGTTCTCCAACTAGTTGAAAGCACTCAAACTTTGACTTAAAATCACATATTTTCCCATCCAAACGTAATGGGGAAAATATGATACGCATAAATAAAGTTGCATTCACAATTTACTCAGAATACTAACCTGTACAGTATACTGACTATAATAATAATATAATATAAATTCTGCTTGTTATTTCTAGGTTCGAACCGTAACCGGTCTCCGGTTCTGATTCCATATCCTAACTATCAAATGAACCGTTTGCCGAGTCGCCGGGAACGCGCTGTCGATCACATAATCAACACGTACCGAACCAGTGTGGACGTTTGTGACAGACTGTGGGTGATCGACATGGGCATAGCGAACGGCACCTCGTTCGGTGAACCTCAGTTGTTCATATTCGACCTGAACACCGATAGGTTGCTGAGACAATTCACCGTCACCTCGGACCTGCGGCGCTCCGACGGCTCCACTTGGTTCCCGGGTTTGTTGGTCGACGCGGACCGACAGGCGTGCGACCGCGCTTTCGCTTATTTGCCCGATATCGGCTGGGGCATGGTCGTGTACAATTTCCAGACCAACCGGGCCTGGCGCTTGGAACACCATTATTTCTATTTTGATCCGCTGTCCACCATTTTCAACATAAACGGCGTCCGACTCGAGTGGACCGACGGCGTGTTCGGTCTGGCGCTGTCTGAGCGTCACTCGGACGGTTACCGGACCCTCTATTTTAGTGCGTTGGCCAGCACTCGAATGTTCTCGGTCAACACCCGGGTGCTGCAGTCCAACAGCAGCGTGTCGTCCACTTTCGACCAGTACATACACCACGGACACCGGCCGTCCGGCATGCAGGCAGCTTCCATGTCCATGGACACGGCGTCCGGGGCGTTGTTCTACTCGTTAGTCAACCAAGACGCCATCGGCTGCTGGAACCCCAGGCGGTACGATCGGCACTCGACCCAAACCAGCGCCATAGTGGCCCAGGACAGCACTACTCTTGTGTTCCCCGCGGATCTCAAAGTGGACTTTAATTCCAACCTGTGGGTGCTCAGCGACAGGATGCCCGTCTACCGGTTCCAGGTGTACAGGTTCAACGTCAACGACGTAAACTACCGAGTCTTAAGCGCGCCTGTTGCCGAAGTCATCAGGGGTACGGTGTGCGATGGTAATGGCGGTTCTTCCATTGGTAATTCGAATAATCCGGATCAGATCGACAACTACGCATCCGAAGAAACCGCATTCCAGTCGTCGCGACCATCGTCCAACAACAACAATTTCAACAACAACAACGGTGATTCTGAACAAAGCGGATTCCAGTCGTCGCGCAACAGCTCTCGACCGTCATTAGTCAACAACAACAACACCAACAGAGGTTGGTCAACTCCTGGCAGACGCAACTAATTATGTTAATAATTACACAAAAAATGCGTTAACTTTTCATTTTTTAAACAAAATTAATATTTTAATATTATTAACCATTAACATTTATCGAAAAAAGTCATATTTTTATTTGAATTTATACATTTATTTTAATTACGGAACAGTCCGAATATCTAAACGGTATGATGAAATAAACAAATACCTAGAGTATATACCTCGTGATTCTTTAAGTTTATTATAATACTAAATTCTTCAGATTGTTTACACAACATCAAGTCAATGGTAACTGGTGAGTCGAGACCAGCGTTTGACTATTTTTTTTTTACAGCCTGTAGAGAATTGCATATGTATCCTCATTATCATAATTTAATCTTATAAATGCTTAATCCTTCGCATATCACTATTGATCCATCTTTCCCGCCTCTGAAGGCTGAACACTGGTGTGTAAAAGCCAATATCATTGTCAAACTTTATTTATCATAAATAATTTATAATTTTACAATTATATTAAATAAATATGATTCATACGCGTTAGACAAAGTTTAAATGGTCATACTCGTATGCTCTCGCCAATGGTCACATCCCAGGAACTTACACAAAACTCCAGTAAACAAAATGAGACCTCCGATACAAGGTTATATAAAGAACAATCATTATTGTCCAACCAATTATAGTTTCTCAGTTGGCTCAATTAATCGGTATTTAACTAATGACCATAAAGACATTTTTATTATTGACTTAATTGATAAATAAGGTTCCTGTTCAAAAGCTCGGAGGTATATGTTTGTGTTAGGCACTTTATTTTTAATTTTGTAATTATATATTGATGTTGTTAAAGTTTGTGTTTTGTTTACATATTTAAAATGTACACAAACACTATTACTGGCATTTCCCCCCCCCACTTAGAAATATAGAAAAACACCTTAAACGTGTACGCGCCATTTTAAAAATACGACAAGCTATATCTTTTAATGCCTTCTAAATTAAATAGGATATACCATCTAGCACTACAGTCGATAACCAATAAAATATAATACAAATTATATATATTTTTATTTATTCGTATGGTTTGTCGTTACATGTATATATATATATATATAGTATATAGTAATGATAATGAGATAACATATAATAAGATGTATAGTAGATATGAGGGTATGAGTAACAGTAATTAAATATTATTAAGCTAACAGATTAAGATGTTTGGTATCAACGTTGGAGCTTCTTTGTCTGGTGGCGTTTAAGATTAGTTTGAGTTGGGTTGAATTGCGTGTAACCAGGCCAGGAGATCGTTAGAAACGATAGTCTGGCCGCCAAATTTGGTCATGAAACCAAACCGGTTGGTTTAGAGTGTGTTTCTCGAAGTTGGGTTTTTAAGGAGCCACCTTCCCCTGGTCCGTTGTCTAAGTGCTAACAGGTAGACCAAACTTCCGACCCCGACTAATTATTAAAGTGAGGGCCAGCTAGTACCTGGGACCGCTTAGCACGGACTCAATTAAGAGCCGGCGAGCCCCCACCACCACGACAAGGTAAGTTATTTTTGTTGTTTGTATTACTGTTATATAATATACTTGTTAACTCTTAAAAAAAATCTGATAAAATAAATAAATAAATGTTTTAAAATTTAAGTATGATTATTTCATCAATTGAGCATAAATATATGAGTGTCAATTGACTGTTGGTCTTAATATTTTGAATTGACACAAAATAATGAACACATAATATTAAACTAACAATAATTGAAAGAAAAACACGGAGAACATAATATAACCAAGATTTTATTTAAAAATTAGCTATAATTTCGCGGCTAATTATAAATATTATTTATATAAATAATTTGTTTACATCTATTCAATATAATATATGACGTATAAAAACGATACAAACAAACAAAATCACAAAAATGTAAAATACACAAACACGGTTCCATCATGACTATGTATCGGTAATTACTAAACTACATAGGTTTTAACACATCACTATTTTCTCTAATTTTTTAGCCATCTCGTTTTCTATTTATCAATTTGGGTTTTCATAGATACAAAATAATATTTATAGTTTATAACTTATGATATATAAATATAAGATTACAAATAATACATATTAAATAGTAGTTATTCAATAATTATTATATTATTGTTAATGAGAATGATTTAAAAATTGGAATTCACATGATATATTATATTTACGTCCATACAATAATTTTGCAACAGACAATACCATTTGTTGTTTAATGCACACATGACTACTGATGCAAATTACCCACAACACAATAATTATTATTTTTAATACAAGTGAACTAATATTAAAATTTTAATAAACTGGGTATTAAATCGTAAAATACATAATCGAAATACTTTTTAGTAGTATAATACAAGGTAATTGTTTAAAATGATCATAAAAAGTGTATTACATTAGCTACCGTTTAAATAGGATGAGTTACAACAATCGTATTGGTTGTTGTACCCCCAATACTGACCATTAAGTATTAAGGTAAATTATACAAAAACCTATAAAATAATAGTCATCAAATTATACATATATGAAAAATAAACTTATTTATATTTATAGCTGTTGGATTGGTATCATATTATTAATGGGAAAATATCATTGCCATCAAATTGTTATGAAATAGTTAAATACTGAATGTATGGGTATATCCTACAATTTAAAAAAAAAAATGTATAATAAATTATAATAAAATTGCACCATTGTAGAATGTATGTGCGTCAAATTTTGTGCAACGTTGAGTTTCATCGATTTGGATAGAATATAAAATCATCTTTGGAAAAAAAATATTGCCATAAGTACAAAAATAAGGTAACTAAAAAATATAGATAAAAATAATATTTAAATACATATTTAAAAAAAAAAAGAAACAAATAAATATAAATATTTGGAATAATTAATCGTTTTAAAAAAAATTAATAGGACGGCAACAAATATTTGGCCATGTTAAAAAAAAACAAAAAATACTTAAGACTATTTTAGTGGATTGGTCTTGAATAATTATAATTATATTATAAAAAAAAAATAATAGTTCACTTTAGTTTGTTATCGACATAATTCGATAATATGACTATAGTAAAGGAGTGGAGAGTAGATTTTAACTGTTCAGACGGAGGTGGAGATCAGCTGAGTCGTCCACCTCGCTTTCTGTCGTATCTACTGATCCTGACCTTTCAGTTTTGTTGGGCAGAGCATTGCCGTTGTTCACCCACTGCTGTTTCCATGCCTCTAGCCGCATCACCTTGGGGTTAAAATTATATATTTTATGTTAAGTCAAATTTAATTGTAAGGAAGTTTTTATAAACACATTTATTTCCACCAAAACAACATGCAGAGAATTAAATTTTGAATAGAAGAGTACATTAATATGTGTTAATAAGAATTTTAAAACGTGCACTCACTGTATCAGCCTAGCCACTTCCATGGCTCGACGTCTGGCGTGGTCGGTGAGAGTAGCTAAAAAACACCATTTTGTTTGTTTGATTGTTAATATTGTAAGCATGCTGCAGTGTTACTTTTTAAAGCAATGTTAGTGTACATTTAGAAATACATTTTATATATATGTATAACACAATTTTAATTAAAATCACTGATATCAATTTTTTTGTTATTAAGCTAATAGAGCACTATGAAAGGTATTTTAACTGATTTGGGGCACATATTTCCAACATTTATATCTGTTGAAAGTCGGCATATTCGCGTTTTATGAGTTATAAACAAATTAAGGGGTCTCAGGTACAAAAAATAAAAAAAGTTAAATTTCCTATTATTATTATTGTCTAAAAATGATTTATATTTATTATTTATTGAACCACCTACAGATTCGTATCAAAGCGTAAAATCACTTTCAATTATAATAATTCTTATTGACTCGTGACCTCTCTAACGCTAATATGTTCCGTCATCACCACTATGACCCCACTAAATTGTGCTGGCTTTTTTTTTAATTTATCCCACTTGAGTAGGAATAAACATTTATGGTCACTCTGCAATTACGTTTTTTAAAATAAATTTTTAATTGAAATAAACTGTAGTTCACCTTTTTACAATGTGACATCGGTAAAGGGTAAAATAATGCATTTGTTGTAATTTGAATGTTATTATTATAATCAAACTTAAAAGTGATCAGTAAATATATAAACGAATATATTTAATATATATAACAGTACATAAGACACGCCATATGCCTGAAAATTATGTATTATGATAACATTTTTAGTTTTTAATTTTTACTACTTATTACTAGTTATTAGTAATATTAGCTTGTTAGTTAGGAACTTACACCATAAAAATTAACAGGCTGTTATATTATTGTACGCACGAATTAAGTGCGACATAAAATTTAAAATGTACAATTGCTGATTTTTATTTTATAACTCACTTCAGCTTTGAGATCAGCTACTTTATCCTGAAGTTCTTTAACTTTATCACTGTCGTCCAATGAGTTATTTCTGAGCTCGCCTTCTGTTACCATTTCTTCATTCTTGTGTAAAAAAAAAAAAAATATAAATTAAAAAAAACGATCATTACTATTATTAATTTTAAATTTTATTTGTGTTAATACAATGATTTTTTTTTTTTTTTTTAAATAGTATTGTTCTTAATTGAATTGATAATTTCGAAAATGACAAGTCATAAAATTAAAATTTTACTCTAACCACAAATAACTTAATTACCATAAATTAAAGATAGTTTGCACTTTCATCTATTTATAAATTTATTTTTAATTAACATGTTGTTTTTGCAAGGAATAGCAAATTATCTTTTAAAATTAAGGCAAACAAAAAAATTACAATAGTGAAAAAAAAATGTGTAACATAAAATATGTACATAATTCTGTTTAAACATTTTTTAATCATTTGACAAAAAACCACTTTTGTAAAAATAGTGTAAAAACATGTGGTTTTCGAAATTATGATTCAATTATTGTTGAGCTTTCAGAAACTAACTTTAACTTCCAATCTAGATATTTTTTGGTTTAATTCAGCAACCATTTGAGCATGTTCAGCTTCACGTATTCTTGATGATATTATGTCGTGTTTCATCTAAGAAATAGTTACCAAACATTTAACACTTTATTATTTATATAAATATATAATGATAATAATAATATGATATTATATACCTTTGATTCCAAGTCCGTATATTTATTATGCTGTTCACGAAGTTTAACGACCAGGTCTCTTTGTTTTGTTTCTGCAAGTTCCAGCTGCTCTTGGAAAGCTTTATTCTCTTCATCCTGTCTTCTCAGTTGATTACCACTGACTTGGACTTGAGTTTCCAACTCCATGACCTAATGAAAAAAAAAAAAATTCTAATATTCGTTTTAAGACTAGAAATACACTGCTCGAATGTACCTTCAGTCTTAATTCTTTGAGCTCGGCTAAAGTTTCCATTTCACGAAGTCTAGTTGACATTAGCTCTTCTTCAAGCCGCTGTGTTTCAGCATTATTCCAGTTCAAGAGATTACCTATCTTTTTAGGCGTTGAATCAGGTGCTGGTGGAGGGTCGACTCTTTTCTTTTCTTGTAAATGGCGTTGCCACTGAGTATTTATTTCGTTTACTCGTGTTCTCAAGTCTTTTAGAGATAAATTGGCTTCAGCTTCTCTCAACTTTACTGCAATCAGTTCTTCTTGCAAATGTGCCACAGAATTGTCGACTACCGATTCTCGAAGAGTTCGCTTGTCCTATTTTATTATTTAATTAACTAGGTAGGTATTCATAAAAATATTTATTAAAAATGCTTACGTGTTCTAATTCGCCAATTCTGTCTTTAAGATCACGAATTGAAGCTTCATTCTCGGCATCCCTCAATCTCACTTTTACCAATTCATCTTGAAGATCTTTAATCATTTCTTCTTTTAACGACAATTGTTCTTGTTTTAACGAGAGCTCATCAAGAGACGACTGACAAGAATTGTGCTGTAAATCAAAAACAAAGTTGAAAGATTAAAACATAAGTAGTGAGTGAAAATTGTATTAGCTTACGTTTTCTGTTATCAGAATAGACATTTGTTTAATTTCTTCAAGAGCATTCTCGAGTGCATGCGATGTTTCCAAATGAGTATGTCGTAATGCTGTTAGCTCCCGCTGAACAATAAAAGTAGTTTCTTCTTCTTCCGCGCGAGACACTTGTCCTCTCACCAATAGACCAGCCAACTCACTCGACTCGGCTTCAAGAAGTTCTACTTTTTGTCTGAGTAGTCGATTTTCTGTTCGAAGTTTCTGTCACAAAAACATTTGAAATATAAAAATAATTATTATATATTTTTTAATTATCAACTAGTTTTAACTATATGGCCGCCCCGGTAGAACAATGACACAACTGCAATAATTGAAATTCTACAGGAGAACCAAAAACCTTATGTGTTCGCATGCGTATGTATATATATATATCACACACACACACACAAAATTATTTAGGCAATATTTTTAAGTAAGCATACTTCTGAGATCACGTCAAGTCATATAAATTAAAAAAAACATTGATTTGTTTAAAATAGCTTGGGTAATTTTTAACTGAACTTTTGTATGTTATTGAGCATGAAATATACAAAGCCTGCGAAGAATTAACACTAATATTCTACATAATCTGGGCACCTTGAGTTCGATCATTTCCTCTTGTTCCTTGCTCTTAATGGCCGTATACTCCTTCTCGAGTTTTTTCATACGTTTAGTATTGTACTTGATAGTGAATGCTAATGCCATCAAGCCATCCGGATCATTGTTGGCACGGGAAGGAAGTTCTTTTTGGAAAAACTAATTATTAAATACGTACATATTAGTTAATATAAATTACCTACGTAATTGCACAATAATGTAAACAAAATTATATTAGTATCACTTACTCTGAGCATTCCTTCCATGTCCAAGCTTAAGAGATCATCTTTGCCTAATTGAAGCAATGCCAAAGCTACTTTGAATATGATTTCTATTCCTTCTGATAGAAAAGCATCTATTATCCTAAAATAGAGAACATCATAGTTACAAGTATGGATAGAGATTAACATAGATGGGGATTATATAAATTATAAATATTATATTATTATACAAATCTTACAATTTTTAATTATAGAAAATGCTCAATATAAATAGAGGGATGTCTAAGCAATATAAAAGTTAATGAATCGTTAAATTTTTGAGTTAAGTTACTTCAGTTAAATTTTTACCAAATACCTCTCCTCCTTTTTTTTTTATACTTATCTACATATAAATAAATACATTAAGCATTTGCAAGACTTATAAATGGATAGATGTCATGCTGGATTCTACTCAGATTAATGGTGTCTCGTCCCTACATACAAGTATTGTATCGGTACAGATGACATTTATGATGAACTACCTGCAGGCAGTTGGTAATGCTAGTGCCGTAGTGAACAACGTCAAGAACCAGCTGCTTGCATACATACTGGTGTGGAAGCTCTGCGATTGGAAATGTACATAAAGTTCTGGAATGTGGTCCTGGAATACAAATGAAATATAAGTAACAGAATTAAACATTTCTCGGGTCAACCACGATACCTGAACCAGATTTTCCAGCTGGTACATGCAAAGACCGAGTTCGGCCATTGATGGTTTGAACATGTCACGCATTTTGTAGTCCTGCATTATCTTAACGAACACCGCAAACGCTTCTTCCTCGGGCATTTGCATCAACAGCAGACCTACGATAAATCCTGAACCCTGACAGTAGCCAACCTCACGGTCGTGCAACGAGTACGCCTTCATGACATTGAACAAGCTCTCCTGGCCCAGGCCATCTTTCTCTTTGAAGAAGTCGTGTTCAGGGTATGTGCGCGCAATATCTCTCCTTATGACCTATGCGAGAGGATAACAAAAGGTTAGCGTGTCGCTTTCACAACGGCGGTTTGGTGTTGTGTATAAGTGTACCTTTTCACAAGCGGAAGTAGCTTTTATGTACTCCGGATACTGTTTCCTAATGGGCGAGTCGTTAGCGCCGCACAGGAGCTGCCAGACGATGCCGCGGAAGTGGTGCGGAACGCCTTTGCGGACCAGTTCTTTGAGGTAAGCGTTCTTTTTCTTGCTGTAGCTCTCCCAGTCGTTGACCACTTGGCCCCACAGACCCCATACGTCCTCTTCGCCATCCTGGCTGGATCCCGTGCCTAGGAAATAGCGAAAAACTATTAGTACACGCGTGACGTCGAAACCTGAATTAACATTCCCAAAAACATTGCGCTCGACGGACCTCGGCGAATGCCTCTGGCGTGTGCTTGCGCGTACAGCGTCAAAAGATTTCTGAAGTGCTTTTTGCTAACCGGCGGCCTCAAGAGTTCGCGGGGCGCCATTGCTGTTTTTTTTTTTTTAAGCGAAACAATAGTGTTTGCGCATAACTACCAAACGGACGTGGAACTTAAAACTGTAGTCGCGCGAAATTCAACAACCATTATGCGACTCTGTAAGTTCGGATTGGAAAGAAGAAAAAAAAATTGAAAAAAAAAATACTGCCGAGTGACATATATGAATACAGATTAACGGTCGTGTCGAAATGAATAATCAAACGCTACTACAGAGAAAAAAAATAAGAAAAGATAAATCGGAATATAAAGCGATAATTTTAATTGTACAATTAATCAAATATATAACGGCCAGTGTTGGACACGACGTCAGGGTGACAATATTATACACGTTATCATGCGTGATTTCAAATTATAAGCGATTTCTAAAATTGATTTTCTAAAATGTTTATTTACATGTAATTACGAGTACTATTAACATCCGCGTGTGTACAATCTAAGGAAAAGTCAATTGTTATTACAATTATTGTGCACGTCAATTGTGAAATCGGATAGCTTTTCATTGAAGTTTATGGAATATAATAACTCGCCCGACAATTGACGCTAAATTAAATAAAACCCATCCGTTTTAATTTACATAATTTTCGGTATCGTTACAAATAATTATATGGATTTATATAATTTAGGTTGTTAAAAGAGAGAGAGGGTAAAAACTAATACATAATCGTTTCTTTAAAAATATATGACCAAACACGTTACGTGCATTACTGCCAAGGACATATAATATACATGTGGATATCTTTTTAATTTACAATACCCTCAGTGTTCACTAACAAAACTAAGAATAATTATAAACAACAACAACGCTATTATCGGTACTACTTTACCAATTTGTATTTTAACATTTAAAGGCAGTATACATAAAAAAGAACTATGCATTTTCTGATCTTCAAAAAGACAGATATATACGATTAATACTAAAGTTGTAATGTTGGACATTTATTTAAAATTATATTCACCGGCATTATTTAATTTTAAACATAAAAAAAAGGATGAATCATTATCATAGTTTTCAAGAAATAAGAATAAAATGTACTATCGTGTCGATATTACTATTCAAGTTTTAACCATACGATACAATATGGATTTTTTTATTGCATTACAATAAATAAACATAATATATGCATCATTATTTGCTTTTCAATATTAATAATAAAAAAAAAATTACCTAATTATCATTATACTATCATTATTAATTTATTAATTCAGATTAAAGATAATAAATAATATCAAAATTATAATTAAATGATGCAGACAATTTATTTTGTTTGAATTAATTTCATTATTATTCTAGATTGTCAACAAATTAGCTGTAAGATAAAATAATAGAACTAACTTTCGGAAGTTGTATTTAATTATATATAGTTTAATTAAAATGTAATATACTTATTACCAAATTACTTTCCCAATTTCGAATTCTTAAACAAATTCTAAATATTATCTTCGTTAAATAAATGAGCAATTCGGAATAGATAAAAAAACTAAAAAAGGAATATCGAGTTCATATTCTTCCTAAATATCAAAATGCATGTATTACAACGGCCAGCGAAGGTACTATACTATCCATGGTATGACAGATTGAAAGCATAAGGGAAATGTCAAACGAGTTAACTGTTTTTTTAATTATCATTTTATTATTATATGAAATGTACAATGGTGTTTTAACGGTAATACATTTTAACGTTTGCACGCGAGATGATAACGGAACCAGTAACAATACACAGTATTTGTTTTAAACATTTTTAATTGTTATTATTACCTCTTATTCATAAGATAATAATGAAATCCTGTATCGGCTAATAGTGCTGTTATGTGACATCACACATATCAGCACATAACAAAAAAATCATCAATATAACAATCAAATTTTATTTCAAATGGTTTACAAATCCGTACAATAACTGATGACTTTAGATGGTGTTATATTTAATAAGCATCAATTTTTATTGGGCCATTAAAAAGCAGTACATTTTGAACATTATAATTTAATGTTTATTAGAAGTAGTTTATAAAATAATCGCAGTTACCAAAAATTCGACGCCCCCAACGAATAATTACGTAACTCACTTATTTTTTTTTTTAACTGATAACACGCATTTTCTGTATTACCGGCGAAAGAGGTATTATCTCAATTGTGTTCTTTAGAACTGGTCGATTCAAGATACGACCTCATTTATCGGTTATACAGAAGACGTATGTTGTCAGAGAAATTTTTTTAAAAGTTAGTTACGTCAGTATTTGTAGGGGGCTTAGAAATAAATTAAATACGATATATTCTTATTCACGCCATTCATGTTTAAACCCGTTTTCTTAAAAATATGTAGTAAAGTAGTACGAGAATTTCTTAAAGTATTTTAATGATAACTACTCAATACGTTACTATTTTTAAATATGTTATATTGGTGAACTTATGGGCTTGATTGGAATACACTTTTAAATAATTGTCCATTCCGTAGTCTTATAGTTAGGTATTATTTTTTAAAGGGGCTTGGAGCACAACTAGTTTTCATACGATTTAGACCAATAAACGTTGCTAAATTAGACATACTTCCCAATGTTGGATTTTTATTTTTAAAATATGTATGCATTTGTTGACAAATGAAGAGCACAGGGAAAGAACGGTAGTTAGTAGTCCATTTATGAAAATTTAGAGTATAGCAAAAACAAAGTTCGTGAATTCCTCTCTCTCTTACATAAGAACAAAACAAATCACATTAAGTGCTATTCTACTAAAAAATGTATTTATTTAAACAATCTATTGACATTAATAAAACAAATGAATGGCATATATTGAAAAAGGTTTCTAATTTAATTTCTAGGTACTAGGTTTCTATTAGGGTTTAATTGAGAATCGGATTCACATCTAAATATACAAGGCGGCTCACTTGATACAAATCGCTCTGTTTACGCGACAATAACATTGTAGGATGAATACCATTGTAATAGTATTTAAAAACATGGTTATGAAGTTTATAAAAACGTACTTACCGGACACTAGTGATATTTGAGATGCATCGGAGCTCTTCCTGGAGTGCGTGCTGTTGTTTGATATGGAATTCAACGATTTGGCATCCGACTCGATGAGCCTAGAGTCATAAAAAATTGTCATTTTGTATTAAGATTATATTAAGCACAATATAACTTTTCGCTTAGTAACTTTATAGCACCGCGATAAGTCGCGCAATTAATAAGATCAACGCGAATCGTCAAGAATAAGGTATAGTATAGACTCGGAGTGTCTAGGCTTAGTATATTTCGTAAAAGCAAATAAATGAAGAGTTTAAGTAAAACGATGGGGTCGTTTTATAATACGTGGACTACACACAATGCTTTATGAGTGATTGTCGGGGATTGAGCCTACACTGAAAACCATAGTAGTTATGCTTATTATCGACCGTTTGCTATCATTATCTGGCATAAACGATAAGCCTAACAAGATAGGGCGACAGTTTATTTTTAATGATTCTAACAACAACGATTACATGATCAGATATTGTAAAATATTGTTACAATATTAAGTGCTAAGAACAGTAGATTAACACGATAAGTATTATACATTTTTTATGAAAAAGTACGTTTAATATTGTAATCGCATTTAAATAATGTTAAACATGATTTAATAATAAGAATTTTGGGTTTTTAAATTAAGCGAGTGAAACATATTTTGCATGTTAAGTTCTTACGCTCAGAAAATAATGTTCTCTAAAGAGATACAAGAGATGTATATTTCAAATCTGATACGAATAATATAATGTAAGTCAATTTAAGGATATGATTAGCTATATTACAATAATAACAACTATATTCAATGAAAGTTGACTGTTTACTGACGAATATTATATTTTGTCAAGACTAACTAGTTCTAAAAACATTAAGATTTACCGAGCCAATTTCAATTTTAACAGGTTTTTAAAACCCATATACGTATTTTGTTTGATGACTCACCATCTTCACTCACATACTTCTCATAGAATTCATTAAAAAAATGCATAAAAACCACAGAATAAAAGACTCATAATTAAATATAGACTTATCAGTCGTACAGTGAAAAATTCAGATTAATCGATTTTTAGTAGTAGTGGAATAGAGTAGTGGAATAGGCTTCGGCCAAAATTTAAATTTTACTTTAAACATAAATAAATATTTGTATTTATAATATGTTTTCTTGATGATTAAATATATTTTTACACATTAAAATAAAAATGTTGAAAATTAATGATATTAGACTAAGATCAAATTAATATACCAATTTCACGACAAATAATAACTGACAAAAGGTATACCTATTTATAACTCAGTAAAACAACAAATATTATTTAAAATATGTGAAAAATTAAAATAGATTAAATCATTAAAAAGATATAATGGTACTAATAAATAATAATTGTTTTGTTTAAGACTAAAATTTAAATATAAGTCGGAACTTGTTTTATGGTACTCTGACTGGAATTATTATTACACTATAAATACATTTTTTTTTGTTCACATTAAGATACAGACAATACTTTTAAAATATAATTGTCCGACAATTAGATAAAAAAGTAGATACTTATTTTCACATTTTTATCTTGATAATTTTTCCATTTTTCATATTATGATAACAATACAAGATTAAATATTTTAGTTTTTACTGATATTCACCAAAGACGATTTTCCGTATAATTATACCAAGACGGCGAAATGTATCACAAGTATGTTTGTTAAATATGTAATCCGTTCGAAAATCGTAAATTTAAAACTATAGTTATAGGTGGTACTTTTTTTATTGACAATATTGACACAATATCGCGTTCGAGTGATTACTACTAAGTATTATTACTATGATTTTTTTTTTAAGTGCTCACCTATTGGCCTCCTCGAGTTTTGCTAACAGCGCCAGCTCTTCGGTATTGAGTGCCGGTTTGCTACAACGGCTTCCGTCCTCGTTATTATTGTTATTGTTAATATAGTCTGTGGCTGCCCTAGACGATACCAGCATATCAGCCGAAAGGACTGGTGGACTCATCACGACCGTCCTGGCCCTGAGGCCGAGACGTCGGGATACCGCCGGGTTTGGTTAATCGTAAGTTTGCCGAGCCGGTTGAAAGACATTGTGATTGATTAAAATCTAAAAAACAAAACATAACAAAATTAAAATGATTCAGAAAGTAAAAATACCAAAATATAGAAGTTTAATATTATCTACTATTAATAAAGTGTAATAAAAACAACTATCAAAAGTGACACTCTCTGTCTGTATATACACGAAATAAATAAAAAATATTAGCTGGCCTATAGTGTACTTTTTTTAAATCTTTTGTACAGCAATGATTTTTAATTCAAATTAATAATGTACATTGTAAAAACTACATTATTTTGGTTATACCTAACAAACATTACGGTGTCTCTTACTAATTCGAACAAGTTTCTTTTTACAAATCTTTATGAATTTTGGTAGTAAAATAAAAAAAAAGTGTAAGTTTTTGTACCGGGTGTAATACCACCTTCCTCTGGTTAAATTAAAATCCTGTTTTCAACAAATTTTAACTTTTTTTAACATTACATTCACTATGTAGGACCATTCAATAAATACAACGTCAATGACGGGCGTAAACCAGCCAATATTAAATCAAAAGTAGTTGGGAGTATAAAATTAATACTCTGCTAAATAATTAATAATAATTATATTAATTTCTATAACAACGGGTTTGACGAGAACTATATAAAACAGAAATATTTCATTTTTATTATTATATAAAGACAGCTGTTGCCTCAGACAATCAACTCTTATTTGTACGATTGAATTTTTATTAATTTTAACACTATAATTAAATTGTATTGTTTAATATATGATACTTTGAAATATACTAATCAAGAACTTATTTCTACGTGTTTTAAGTTTACTTAACACCCTTTCCCAAACATATTTTCTTAATGAACTACTAAATATAATATACATAAGGATATATGTAAAATTAAGGTCCCCAGAATGGGTCAGCCTTCAGCCACCAATTTCAAGAATCCAGCTCTGGTATTATTGACATAAAATACAAATCACAATACTTTAATCAATACAATATGGTTTACATTAGCACAATACAAACCAGCAAAGTCTAAATATGTATTAAACACAACACACGAAATGCGTAACAATCCCGAATGTGCAGTATAAAATAGTATACTATCATGTAAATTATTGTATTCTCTAATGGGCATTAGTTTAGTTTTGTTTTAAAGTGGAAGCTAAACACACATGTACCTAATAAATATACAGACAACCAAATGTCTAAAAATGACGGTCGTAATGTTGTAAATTTATTGTAAATACATAATATTATTTTTATTTTTAGTTCTATAGTACTTTTAAGTGCCTACTAGTATAACTACTGATTTGATAGTACCAAGTTTTAATAGTAAAAAAAAAAATGTGATAATAAAGAAACAAAAGTAAAACTAGTCTCTACACTAAACATTGGTAACACGCCAATAGGTGCATCATTAATAGAAGATAATATTATATTAAGTATTCAATAAAAAAGTTTATGGTTTTAATCGTCTTGAACAATTTAAGTTTGAAAATGCTATAATACGTGTTTCAAATATTTAATTTATTATCAATGTTTCATATGCGAGACGTAAACAAAAATAAACTGTAACACGTGTTCTTTGAAGCTAAAGTGGTAACGAACAAAATATATAACACACAAACACAAATGTCTACAAAAAATAATTTTTAAAACATCAAACACCATTTATTTTGACAGCAATTCGTTAGTCGCTGTTTTTACTATAATGACTCAATTGAATTGACATATGGATAACATAAAAAATGTCATAATAATCTAATTATTGCAGATAAAGATGACAATTTTAAAATGAAAAAATGCATGAATACATTATGCTGTTAAAAATCAGCAAAAATATTACATGCTCCTGAGTATAATATAAGGTTAAACCAGAGTTAGTCTAGAATTAAAGGCTAAACCAAACAATTTGAATAAAAAAAAATCAATAAACAATAACAATAACATTAGCAGTAAGCATTAACACGTCTTTTATAAGCCTTTTAATGTGGCATAGAAGTGGTCTCAAGTTCAATGCAAAATTAATTTCAAAATGCAGTGCCAAAAAAATTGAATTGTGTTTATGACACAATTATTGTACACACCGAACAACAGTTGTTTTTTTATAAAACTGTAATGTGATATGTAACCCCAACGACGTTTTAAAGCGTTAGTTACCTATTATCATCATGTATGTAAATGTGTACACTGTACATGGCAAATTTGAATGGTAATATCATTCAAAAAGACAACGTAGGTAGCACATTTTCTACAATATGTGATTAAGAATGAGGGGCCGCCGTAAATAACAAAATAAGATAACCTACATACCGCAATAGGCAACTGCTATGTTTAAACTTAAAATTACTTAAGGCGTCTTTGCTTTTATATAGTTTACCGAAGAACAAGAAGTTTTTAACTTAAATAAATGTAAAACTAAACATATGTGCAGAGAGTAATAATCTGAATGTAATGAAGTCATATTATAACAACAATTTAACGGGCGTTTTTATTTGTGATATTTTTCAACGCATCTCGCGAATGACAATTATAAATATTAATATAAAATTATTCATTACTATATTTTTTAAACATTTTACCAGAGTTCTATGCACAATGTAAATGTATCGTATTGTAGTTTTATAAAGATACAATTACAAATAATGGATTTAGGTCTTTGATTTAAACATTTTAATAAACCATGCCCACCAAATCGCTCGATATTTAATCCACACTTTTTTTACTTCGTTGTTTTACTACCTGTGATTAGTATTGACCGGTATGACGTGGCATTTTCTTTTTTGGATATTGAATTTGCTATGAATTAAGAACATACCGATCCACAACGACAACGTAGTAGTATAAAATATGGCAATTATGGTACCCAATACTTGCAAATTTTATTTAGTTTTACAAAATTACGAACATTTTAATAATAATAGAGAGATGACAATTTACAATATAAAACGTTTTTTCTTGGACCAGACGATGGAAAGTTAATAAATATATATATTTTTAATCATTTGTTCTCAAATACTTATCATTTAGTGTTTAAACTGGACTAATATCGAAAACGGTTGTTATCAGTTTTGGCCGAATAGTAAAAAGTTTCAAGCGCATAAAGCCATACGATTTAGTTTAGCTTTTAAGTAGATAAGAAGTCACTTGTGGTGAGATTATTATTTAATATTGTGATTGTTTAGTCTCAAATGTTATACGCCTATACACACACTATTGAGTATTGATTACTTTCATGTTCAAGTACAATATTTACAACGTATATAATTATATATTATATTATGTCTGTCGTGAGCGCTAAAGATGAAAACATTGTTGCCAAAATACGACGTATTCGCGGAGAGTATATGATTTTTATGGTTAAGGGTTTTTATTATTATTTTATTATATATTATGCACATTAAAAGAAAGCTACAATATAAATATAAAATATTCATAATTTAAGTTCATATATTATTCAATCTGTATTCATCGTACTTGGTTACAGGTACTGTGACGGGTTTTTATAAGGAAATAAGATCATCACCAATAATAAACTTAAAAAACAATAATTAATAAGTATTTATAATTAAATTTGTAATTGAAATTACAGGACTATTCACGCCGTGCCCGTGAGAATTTACCGTTTATTTTTTCCATTATTTCTCTATAACGATCATTTACCACGGGAAAACATGACGTAATTTATGCCAGCAGACCAAACCTACCTTGAAAACGCTTCGCAACACCTGATCAAACCGAGGGCATATTATTTTTCACCACATTGACTGATTTTATCATCAGTTTAAACTAGGTACAATAAAGGACAGTGGTTTTTATGTACCTACCTACTTCCGAGCGCCTGACAGTGTAACAATAATGAATAGTTTCAAACAAATAAAAATTAGTACACCAACATAATATAGGAAATAAAACCATGTATAAATGAATTCATGCGACAAGCGATTTTTTAATAATTCATAACTTTTGAATTTGTAATTCATTTCTTTTAGTACTCTGTGGACTTTTTACAGTAGAAATATATATTTATCTAATACTAAATAATCCTTAAACTTATTAGGGTACGGTCAATTCAGAAAATATAAACTTAACTATATGCACTTAGTAATACATATAGCTTAACAAGGATATGACCAGTTTTTTAGTAATTCGTTATTATTTGCTATACTTGTAATGGAAGTGAATTTATGGAAAAATAATTTATTCATGTTTATGTATAATATATATAATCATTAATACTTATTAATTAACTAAATACTTCAATTAAAATGTTTAAATTACGTGCCTAATTCCAAGTTGAATATACTGTCTATGTATTATTTAACTAAATAAAAAATAGTAATTTTGGAAATAGTTTTGAAAAAAAAAAAGTTCTTACTTATAACTTCAAAAGTAATTTCGACCGTTAAAATCTGACTTCAGCGTCAAAATTAAATATACATTCTTCGCAACGCGTTATAACGATTAAATATTTTAAATTTTGTTTTGTACACTCAAAGAGAGATAACTAAAACTAATAAGTATAATCACTAGGACATGTAAATTGTATTAGAAGCTAATTAGTTGTAAAACTAAAATTGTAAAACGCGACACAGATGACAATAACGAATAACAAGTACGTGGGCAAAATTGGCGAAACAAATTATTATATATATGTAAGATTGATGCAATTAGGTCGAATGAGGTCATATGTATGATATTAAATAAAGCAGGGAACTCATAAAAACACTATGTTTATTAGCAGTACGCTTCAGAGCTTGAAAGAACTACATAATGAATGGTGTAGAAAGTGCGAAAAATATAAATAAATATTTATAGACCAATTTAATCAAAATTATATAAAAACGGCCTGGTTATTTTACTAATTAATTAATTAAAGTGTATATATATGTAACTCATTAATATGAACAACAAGTTGTGAATGACGTTATACAATAGTGTTCAACAAGTTTTGCGGGTTAAATCTCGCGTGACCAGCTTATAAAAGTACTAACATAAGAGGATTAAAATCGATCGTAAAACAAAAGAAATAAAACACATTTTCCTT